GCACAGTAACAAAGTTCCRCCTCACGTTCASGTGGAATTTCCTGTGCACCAGAATCTGCCCTTTGCCTCTTTTGTCCTATTGCACAGCACCACTGAGCAGAGGCTGGTCTCATCCTCTTGGCACCCTCCCTTCAACACTTACAGACATTGATGAAGTCCTCTCTTAGATGTCTCTTCTCCAGGCTAAACAGGTCTAGATACRGAGATACAAGAAACAGTAGAAGATTTGAGACCAGATCAGCTGTAAGAAGTCTTTTGGAGAAGAGAGAAGTCTTTTATACCACCATTTCAAAATACTACTGAAATTGTGCATGATGCTTTTACCAGAAAGTAACATAATGCCAACAAGCATTCCTGATAGTTGTGGAACATGTAAGTAAACAGCAAGACTTGTAGACAGTTGATAAGAAATTACTATCTGCATCTGCTTCCTCACTAATAGGAAAGCAACAACCCTGACTGCTGTTGGAGCCAAGACTTGGACAGAAAGGCAGTACAGCAGTCAAGATGATGCAGTTTGCGATCCATGTCTCCTCGGATGTCTCAATTTACCTTGCACACCCTTCATGAGCACCTCGAACTCATGAATACACATTGCTGAACAAAGCGAGCAGCCAAGGCAGCAAGCAGCCTGCACTGTATTAAGGGAACACAATCAGCAGATTAAGGGGAGTGATGATCTCCCTTTACTTGACACTGACTAGACCACACCTGCAGCACTGCACTCATTTTGGAGCCCAAAACAAGAAAAAATACAGACAAACTGCAGTGCATTCAGACAGCCATGGGGCAAAAGTACTTGCCCTGTGAAAAGCAGCAGAGGAAACAGCCTATTCAACTTGAGAAGAGTTTTTGATYGACCTAACAGCAGTCTTCCCGTACTTGTGAGGAGGTTATCTGGAAACACAGCCAGACTCTTCACAGCAGTGCATGTCAGCGTAGAAAAGCTAGGTATAAACAAGAGAGACCCCAACTTGATCGTAGGAAAAGGGTTCTCATGATACAGTCAAAAATTGAAGCAAGCTGCCCAGAGGGGTTGTGAAGTCTCTGTGCCTATAGGTTTTCAAGACATGTTGGATAAAATGCTGAGCACTTGGTCTGGCCACACAGACAACCCTGCTTTGAGTAAGGAGGTTGGATGAGTGACTCCCCAGGTCCCTTCCAACCTGAATTTTACTGTGATAAAAGTTGTGGGCTGCAACAACCTAGACAAAATGAGGGGAGAGAAAGAGGATAAAGAAACTTGCAATTACTCTGGTATTAGTTGATAGCACATATTTTTCAAGTTGCAGCATTGTCCTAATACAGGTAGTCTAGCACAGCTGAATGGCATAGGCAGGGTGATCTCCCTTTCAGTTAGTAGCAACACACAGCACTGGGAAAAAAGCAATGCTTGAGGGAAAGGATGAGAAAAGGCAATTTTATGTGACCAAGAACTTCTGTCAGAATGTCAGCAATACAGTGGTAACTCTGGCTGTTAGTAAAGGTCATGAGCAATTTACAGTCAAAATGCTGCAGAGAGAGGTGGTTATGTAGGYAATTCGGAAGGAAAAAAGGTTTCTTGTAAGACACAGAAATCAGAAGTGACAGGGATATTGAATRTATTTTCTCAAGATGTTAAGAGCAAACAGCTGACACACTTAAAAGAAATCACAGTGGCCAAGGATCTTAATGTAAAGGCTATTCTTGAACAGTACCATAATGATAAATCAATAGGACATGATATTATCCTGGTACAGTCTGTCCTTCTTTAACATTAATTGGAAGTGGGAAAAAGAGAGCTRTATCTGATATGGTCCATAAAATGTAATTAAACCTTTGGAGTGCAAAAGAACAGAAAATTCTGGAGAGCTACGGATTTTGGGTTAAGAATAGTGATTTACTACTGCCYGAACAGCTCAATTTATAAAGAAGAAAAGTATTAAGCATTCTCTTTAAAGAGACAGAATGAAAAGGGTATTACATTTGCTCACTCAATGACATGTCTGGGTCCATGTATTTCCCCTATATCTTATGCAATTATCTACATAATACTTACCCTTTCTGTCAGAATACTACAAAAAAAATCTATTGAAAGATGAGAGAACAAAAGGTGGCATCAGTTCATATTGAAAATACATTCTGTTACAGCACATGCTCTCTGCTTTAGCAGTTCATGTTACTTAAAATGTCATTCAAGTTTCACAATCAATTCTACATAAATCAAAGRTGTTATGAAAATTATTTGACCAGTTTCAAGTTTGAAGAACTTTTCCAGTGTGAGAAACATACAAGACTTGAATAGAAATAGAAAAGGGCATTGCTCCAAAAAACAAATGACAAAAACTACAGTGAAATGTAGTCTATTTTTCTTCTACCAAAAACAACTATTAATAGTGTTTATGGTTACACAGCAAAATAACTTGGCTAATCCATCAGAAAGTAGAAGTGTACCAGAGCTAATAGCAGAAGAAAAATGCCACAACATACCTGTGGAATTTATTCTCTTATTTCACTTCAAGACACCCCCATGACTACACCTACACCTTTGTGCCTGTACCTACCTAGACTTGCACATTTACAGTGTAGATCAGACAGTAACATAACCTCATTTCTCTGAAGTCTCCCAAGACAAACACAATCAACCACATGAAAAAGAGCAGGAGAACTGGCAAAAACTGTAGTTTCATCAGCAGTCAGATAAAAGTCATTTTCAAGAGGAAACTTCTTTTAAAATGGACAGTTAGGTTACTGTTGGGAGTTATGAGAATGTACAGACAGACTTGGAGCAATATTGGTAGGATGGGACCTTTGAAGGTCACCTAGCCCATCCTCCCACTCAGAGCAGGGCTAGAGCCAATGCTAGATGACACTTTCCAAGAGAAGAGGCTTTGCTCACAGAACAGTGGGTGGCAGAGACAGCAGGATGTCTGGTGCAAACCAGGCCTGGCTTGTGACCCCTACTCTCCAGAGGCAACTAGACTTCCATGTCAAAAATCAGCCAAGGAAAGCATGAACTGACACGGTGATCCTTTCTATGGGATGAAAAGGAGACATTGCAGTAAATAAAGCACTCCAAGCAGTATTTCTGCTCTGAATGATAGGAGAAAATGAGCAACGGAAAACTGATCATATGTATAGTCACCAAAAAGAAAACCTATAAGGAGTAGATGGCACGACACGTACCAACAATATGACACACTCTCTTCTGTGATGGAGTGAAGCTCTGTTCAATATTCCAGTGGTCTCAAAACAAACTCATGAACAAGCTCAAAGAAACTTGCAYGCAAAGCTGATGGCAGAAAACCATGGTAATTTGTAAAGTGAGGAGCAAACAGGCTGCAAGAACCCAAGGAAAATGTAGTGTGATGCACATATCAAGTAGTGAATATTTGTCAGCAGTTGGGTGCAGATTTAAAAACATTAGCAATGCATAGAAAGGCCATTTTTTTTTCTTAACATGCAATATCCTTGACAATTCAGGTTTCGAGACAGATATTAAAAGAGACATGTGTTCTGTTTAGTTTTTATTTAACCATGGCAAGAAAAAGCTGTTCTACACTTAGGTAACAAGACATGTTAGTGTTCATATGACTTTGATAACTATGATGGAGCAAGCACAGAAGACGAATGCCAGCTAAAGATAAATATACTTTGGAGGCAGTCTAGGTTTTTACAGTTTTTCTTCAGAGGAAGAGAGAATGATGAAAATGTGCCCATTTTTTGTTCAGAGATGTGAAATCTAAAGGCTCTCTTAATGGCCTTTGTCACACAATGAACAACTTTAATTGTCAAGAAATTGCTTTTCCAGGTTGACTGCCTGCTTAAACTAGAGACTACATAAAACAAGTCCATTCCTCAGAGACTTCTACATGAAACAACTTGGTCATGGTGATATTTACAGTTGTGCCTCTAATCTGTATGTTAAGCTCTACAGAAGTTCCAAACTTGGTATTTTCAAAGCATGGCAAAAATTACAGAACCAGCAAATTAAAAAATTCCTGAAGCAAAAAAATAAGGAAGTTAATTGTCTGGAATTAACACAGATAAAACTAAATGAACCTTAACCCCAAACCAAAAGGCGYATATAACTCTGTAAGGGAAAAGGATACAGAACAGGTGGGAGACAAAAGTACAGCAAAAATAAAATCCCGAGGATGATTAAAAAAAAAAAAAATAAGACCCCTTCCCAAACATTCTGGTACAAGCAATGCAGGCAGAAGGATAAGTGCCCTGAAATGTTATCTTTTAAGTATATTCCGTCATGGAATGGTTTGATTTGGAAGGGACCTTAAATCATCTATTTTCAACCCCTGTCACGGGCAGGGGCATCTTCCCCTAACTCTGCATGTATGACACCTGAACTACTTCCTTTCCTTTCTCTTTTCCCTCTAGTTTAGRTATTGGCTCTTCAAACCCACGCCACTAACCCATTACAAGGGCAAAGGTATGTTACTAAATCTGGATCATAATGAACAAACACTTCTGTTTGGAAAAGGCGCTTGAGCACCTGGAGACCGCAAGGTGATCACCCCCTCRGCCGGTCCAGCGCCAGAGACAGCTGTCCCTGCCCTGGGCTGTATCCCCGATGCACACTGAGGCGCTGCTGTGCCCTCGTCCTAAGGGTACCAGTGTCCCGGCCGGGAGCCCTGACCGCCCGCAGTGTCCCCGCCGCCGGCACAGCAGGGCAGAGCAGGGCCGGGCCGGGCCGAGCCACCTCCCACGTGTGTTCGGCAGCGCGGCCCGCGGTCCCAGGGAGCTCCCCGCCGGTACTGCACCACCCTGGGCCGCCGCAGGGAGCTCCCCGCCGGTGCCGCACCACCCTGGGCCGCCGCAGGGAGCTCCCCGCCGGTRYCGCACCACCCTGGGCCGCCGCCGGCCCTCCCCAGCCCGTGCCGGCACCTCCGTTTCCCCTCAGCGCTTCCCCTCAGCGCTTCCCCGCGGCGCATCACGTGTGGCGAGGGCAGGGCGGACCGGGCCGCCACGCCTCCGCTCTGCCCGGCGCTTTCCGGGGCACTCACTCGCCAGAGCTGCTGCTATCTCCGTTCCCGCCTGCGGCCTCCGCCTTCTGCCCGTCCCGGGGCGCCTCTCCGGGGAATAGGCGGCGGGGCGGAGCGGGCCTTGGGGCGGTGCCTGCCCGGGCTCCCTCCCCTGCGGCCGGGGCAGCGCGGGGGTGAGCCGGGGGTGAGCCGGGGTTGTTGGCCGCAGCCGCCGCGGCTGCCAGAGGGACGGGTCGTGCTTGGCGGGAGCAGCGGCTGCCGGGCCCAGGGCCCGGAGAGCGGGACACCCCGCGCCGCTGCCAAAGCAGGAGCAGCGCCCGGCGCTCCCGGGAAAAGCTGCTCCCGAAACCCGGCGCTCCCGGGAAAAGCTGCTCCCGAAACCCGGCGCTCCCGGGAAAAGCTGCTCCCGAAACCCGGCGCTCCCGGGAAGAGCTGCTCCCCAAACCCGGCGCCGGGGCCTCGCCTCCTGGAGGCCGCGACGAACGTGCGGTGCAACTGCTGGCAGCCAATCTGGCTTTGAGAGAACCTTAAAAAAAACCTCTTATTACTTTATAAATGCTGTTGACCACTCTGTGGGAAGGGATTTTGGCTGCAGGCACAGATTGATCTTGAGCCTGCTGAAGCAGGAGTTTYAAACTTGGAGGGTGCCAAGTGCCTTTCAGTTCACTGCCTTTGCAGGCAGCTTCCAGTTCCCAGCCGAAGACTCCCTTAAGCTGGGTCCGTAGGGATCAGTCTGTCCTTTAGCAAAGGATGTGAAGGTTCTACACAGTAAAATGACTTTAAAGTGTATGCATTGGTGGGAGGAATAAGAGTGAGATACCCTTTTTACCGGTGCTGTGGAAAGGGACCTGGGGGTCCTGCTCAATGGCAAGTTGAATGTGAGTCATTGTGCCCTGGCAGCCAGGAGAGCCARCCCTGTCCTGGGAGCATCAGGGACAGCATCGCCAGGGGCAAGGGAGGGGATTGTCCCACTCTGCTTTGACCTGGGGCAGCCTCACCTTGAATATTGTGTGCAGTTTTGGGTGCCACAGTATAAGAAAGATATTAAACTATCAGAGTGTGTCCAAAGGAGGGCTCTGGAGATGGGGAAGGTTCTAGAGGAGAAGCCGTGTGAGGAGCAGTCTGTTCAGCTTGGRGGAGACTGAGAGGAAACCTCATTGCAGTGCAGTTTTCTCATAAGGGGAAGCAGAGGGGCAGACACTGATCTCTCTTCTCCAGTGACCAGTGATAGAACCCAAGGGAATGGCCTGAGGCTGTATAGTTATGTCAGGGAAGCTTTATGTTGGGTTCTAGAAAAAAAGGTTTCTCAACCAAAGGATGGTTGAGCCGTAGAACAGGCTCCCCAGGGAAGTGGTCAGAGCATCAGCCTGACAAAGTTTAAGTGTTTGGACAACACTCTCAAGCACATGGTGTGACTCTTGGGGATGGCCCTGTGCAGGGCCAGGAGTTGAACTTGGATGATCCCCATTGATCCCTTTCAACTCAGGATATTCTGATTCTCTCTGGACCATACAAGCACTGTTCTGTATCCTGGTTATCAGGAGAGGAGGTAAAACTTTTATATCAGTCCCTCTTCCTTAACTAGTTACTGAGTGGAAGCCAGTTTGCATCTATTATAGACTATTCACTTTCTTTCCCAATTACCACTGGATAATTCTATCCCACCTCTAATACTGGGTAGGATTGTTGCAAAATGTGGAATATGTAAAAWTTTTTTTAAGAAAGAATGTTCTTTGATGTTTCCTCTTTGCATAATTTTAAGCCTCATCAACAAGAARAAGAATTCAATCAATGAAACAAATAACAGCTAGTAAGCAAGCTCTAAGTCATGTCCAGGTGYTAGAAAAACAAATTACTTGGTAGAATTGCCTTGTTAGGRTTTAGGGCTTGACAYGCTTCAGTGATCTCAGACTTAGGGKAAGGTTAACAAAGTTTGTGAAGAAGGACGTACCACTGATAGTGGACTCAAAGAATGCAGAATCTATGGGCCATGAAGACAGCTGGCAGAAGTCCCAAAACAGAGAAGAAACTAATAAATCCAACCCAGCAACTGCTGCCATCAGCTCTTACTCGGTTAAAGATAATTCCAGCAGGGGGAGACTGTGACCACCCGCTCATGGACCACCAACACAAGAAAATCCACCGACCCCTAAGAGARTGACTGACCATGGGACTAATTAGCRTGAGAAGCAAGAATCGTTAACCGATAAAAAACAGAACRCCAGTTAATAAGGGAACTATGCAACTTGTAGCCAATGAACACTAATTCCTTTGTTTACTAAAATGTATAAATAGTAAACAATTTTGATCGTTGGTGTGCGTGATTTGTTCAATACCACTGAGCAACTCAGCACTGTGCAACTCTAAAATAAATAATCGGTTTCTCTCTCAAGTGTGTCATTATTGGCTCATTGCACACCAGGTAACAAATCTGATTTTGGCAGAGAAGATTGCTCAGCATTTGAGGCAGTAGCTCTTGCTTTCTGTATTTTATCGTTTTAGTTGCTGAATTAATCAGTTAAGTATTCTATCGCTTTCTTCAAGTACTGCTGTTTTTTGTTTGGGCACACACATTTAACATCAATACACTCGTGCTAAATCAAGATTTTGAACTATTATGATAAGAGGAAGAATGTCTCCCTTTTTATGTCCCACTACTAGTCTGCCAGGCCCATTAGGTTTTCTTCCTAGCTTGTAGGAGAATCCTGATTCAAAAACTTGTTACAAAAATAAACACCATTGTCACAAATCTAAAAAAAAAAAAAAAAAAAAAAGATAGCAAAATGCAGATTTATTTCATGGCTTCATTACAAATGTATTTGCTTCCTGCTCAGCTGAAAATAAATTGGAACATACCATTGGCAATCTAAATTAATGCTACATTTAAAAAGTTCAGCTCAGAAATCGCAAGCTACCAATTTCAGTACCTGCAGGGATCTTTCCTAACAAAAATATTTATTTTAAAAAGCCCTGAACCACTTGGCATGTATAATCACTGGCACACACAGAACACCCATACCACAACACTGCAGTGCAGCTTTCTAATACAAATTAATCAGTCTTCCAGTGCTCGATAGTCCATGCAGCAGTCTCCTCTTCCTCGGAGAGCTATATGGTCCTTTTTCTTTAAAGCACAGGGTCCAAGTTGCYGTGTTTGTAACATTACACTTATGTACAACCATGTCACAGGATTGTGGAGCCCAGCACAGAGTCTGAGGTGCCCTTTACTAGTGGCATCTGCTGCTTATGGTGTTCCATGACACAAGTTTGGCTCCCTCAGCATTTACATCACCTCAGTCCAGCCATGTGATCTCACCTTTGTTTCTAACAAATTTCGGTCTTTTTGAGTTAAACGTGCCCTCATAAACACATTTGGTAGACACAAGAGCTGTGGAAGGAAGCACTGTTCAGTGAAAGACCAAGTCAAAAAGCACATGGGAATCTACATGTAACGACAGGTATGTGAATGTACCAATGCTCACATGAAATATGGGACATAGGCAGGAACCAGCAAATAAATATCAAAATATTGAAATAAAAACCCCTCATGATACTGAAACACACTATGCTATCACATTTAACATTCTAACAGCTGCAGCTTGAAATAGCAACTGGAACTTAAAAAAAAAATCTCACTGTTGCAAATTTACAGTTGCTTTTTAAAATAAGAGTTAAAGACCAAAAATCAATTCAGTAAGAAGTTATTACTGTTTATTACAGAAACACAGACAAGCTAGCAATGAATYGAACTGGACATGAATGTTCTGTTTTCATACACAGGGATTTGATGTTCAGTGCTTTATCAGTCAKGTAAATTTATCAAACTTAATTTGTCTTCTCTCAGTCCTTCATTCAGTTACTCTCTGACTCTCAAGGCAAGTACCCGCCAGTTTGCTTCAATGCCAGTCTTTTACCATTATTGGTGCCAGTAATGTATGAGAATGCTAAAGGTGTATGGGATTACTTCAATTGAAAGGAGCAGTGAGATTTTTCTTCATGTGTATGAGCTGATCATCTTAGTTACCCTTTGAAGTTAGTGAAGATGAGTATCTCCTTCAAGTAGATACTCACATCCAACAGAGGCTTTTTTCCCCAGTGACTATACAGAGAACCTAGGATGATGAAACTAGGCTGAATAGTTCAGATACAGGTATCTCAAATATGAAGGAAAAAGTTCCCAGTGAATAGGCCCAATATTTTTAACAAACCATATAAAAGTATTATAGACTTTTATTTCTCAATGCCCATAACCACATACACATCTCTGAAKTTTAAATACTAAATATGAAATTAAATAACAGGAAACTTCATGTACATGGCATTGGTCTAGACACAAGAGAAACGCACAATTAGGGAACTCCACTGGAAGTTTTTGGTGAAAAAAGACTAACATCCATAGCAGTCACTGTGACTATTTTTCTGACTCCATTCTGTGCATTAAATCATTCCATATTTCTCTTCTCAGAACTGTATTTGCACAAGTAATCTTTCAAAAAAAAAAAAAAAAAAGAAGAAAAAAGGCTTCTTAATTTCTCTAGAGAATCCAAAAGCTCAGCTGATAAGGAAATTTTAATCTTCTGTAATTAGCAAGGGGAAAAAAAATCCAGCACACTGGAAAGACAAACAATATTTGTAACTACAGTTATGTACAAGCCCACTTTTTCTTCACCTTTTTTTCTTTGAAGTTGAGTGTTCTGCACTATTCCAGGAGTCAGTTATGARGTATGAAAAAACAATAAAAAGATTAACATTATAACCATTTTAATAAAAGYCACTGCATTGTTTGCACTTCCAAAATATTTCTGAAAATAAAGTAAAAAAATATTTAGTATTCTTGAAAGTCTTAAGGAAATTTTTATTACAAAAGCAGTCATCTTTTGAACACAATTCTGCCTCAACATTACACTCAGACATATGGGTATGTTTCATATTACCATCACACAGGTAATCACATTGAATTTTTATAGCATTGAATATTATATAAAACAAATAAACACTGACAAAAATATATACAGGTAGCCAGAAAGCTAATTAAAAAGAAATGATGTCATCTGTACTGAAGAGTAAACATTGCTTTCAAATTCTAACAAAACAMCAAATTTGTTTGTCTGTCTCTTCCATCTAAGACTTAAGTAAAAGGATTTCCACAGAGGAATTTCTACAACTTTGGTTTATAATGACCTAGAAAGAATTCATACCCCATAMAAAATATTGATCTAGTGGATGTCTTTAAAGCTGATATGGAAAGCAACAGGRAAAACCACATTGGGCTTTATGATGAGGATAATAATTTAAATTCAGGATGTCATATTCCAAATATACAGAAAAGACCTAATTATATTAAACACATTTATCTTCTGCTATAAATTAACTCATCCAGCCAGATCCCAACTCTTTAATTCCTCATGACTGAGGAAGCTACGTGTTCTCCATATCTGATGAACAGCAGAAAACCCGTAAGAGCCTACTGTTTGTACTGAAGGGTGTATCTATGTCAGCACCTTTCAGATACAAAAGTTGGTACTAAGCTATGCTGGTCATTGGAAGATTTTTAGCCATACTGGTGCAGAGTTCTGCTCACCAGATTCTTGGCAAAGAACATGCTTATATCATATTCAGAAACAAGTTTCTGAAAATTTTGTCCAGAAACCAGAAGAAATGGAAACAAYTGCAACAAATATGAACATGTGAACTAACTAGCCTTGCTGAGAAACAAGCTGTATTTGCACAAGAGRAGCATACCTGCCTCTGGCACCTTGACTAAAACCAGTATGGCCACATGAGGTATAATGTAGCCATATTAGTTCATTCAAAGCCAAATTTGTGGACAGCACCACACTTCCACAGCCTTGCTGGCTAGATCTGGCAAAAAATATTACATTAAAGTACTGCATGACTTGCAGTACCCAAGCTTGCTTTGTCAGGATGCTTTGGTAGCTCTGCAGTATTACAGTATATTCTGTAGACACACCCAGTTCTTGCAACAACTGTCATTTCCAAGCAAATTCATAATGTAAAAGTAGCCTATGGGGAGATTCTAAACATGTTATAGATGTAGAATGTTTATATGGTGGTTAGATAAGAACATCAYACAACATCCTGTCCTATGGCAGGAATTTCCCCAATACTTGAAGTGGTTCCACGCAAACATGAGTTGTATGTGGAAAACGGTTAACAGTCTCACAATAATYGATGGACAAATTAGGATAGCTGCAAATACTGTGCTGATCAATTTSTCCCAGGGGATATGGTCGGCAAGAAAGAAGGAATATGAAAAGACAGGTGAAGTTCCCCAGTTTTCATATCCAATAGCAAACTTCCAATCTTAAACAAAGAAACAAACAAAAACAAACATCTCAAACCCCCCCCCCCCCAAAACAAACCCAGAAAACCCAACCACCAGTAAATAAACAGACATGCAACTACTTCCTGAAGCAGGAGTGCAAATATTAGCACATGACAAACAACTCTGGACAGCCAGAGTTCAAATGTGTATTAAAGCATAGCCCCTTTTGAGATGTAACACAGTATCAACATAAACCACCTCTGAATCATCCCATATTGATGCACTCAGTTTATGCATTAACARCTATGCTTATTTATCTGCCTCTTCAGCAAACACATGAGCCACTGGAGACAAAGGTGAAGCCAAGTTCTTCCAGGTAACAGATCAACAGCCAAGGTCAGGTCTTCTGCACAGTTGCTTTTCCACAGAAATTATCTCTTTATTCCCCAGCAACAGAGGAGCTGAAAGGTGTAATGTCCTTAACCAGAAAGCACTGAATTGTCTGAGAACACAGCAATTATCTCCTACAGACACTATACTGTATTTAGACCACTGACCTGCTGCAGGAGCTAAAGCAATTCTGTCTTGTTGCCCATGTTGTCTGTGCCTGATGATGCTCCCTGCTAGAACAGAAACTTGACCTGGCTCCTATGCTGCCTCACTGTCTTTTCCCTTGGCTGCGTGCTAAAATCTCCATCTTCATCTAAAAGTATTTTCTACACTTAAGAATACCACTGGCTGAAAAACATTTATGGTCAAATCCTTGCCCATTATTTTCTCCTGTACAAATCTGACTCTTCACAGGCTAGAGACAGAAATGAGCATAAGGGTGTAACTCAAATTATATGAGCAGACTGACGTGCTGGAGAGAATTCATTCTTCCACACTGGCTCTGCAGGACTGGCACTGGAAGGCAGTAATAAAACTGAAGTGGACAGATATTTTTCATACTTGAAAAGATCAGGATTTAAACAGGAAATTGCACTTTTAAGTATCACTTTCAGAAATAAAACTGCCTCCTGCTATTCATCCTGCTACTAAAAAGTCAGATGAAGATATCAAATTTCAAGTGTATGCTGTGAAATTCCATCTGCATTGCTATAAAAATGTTCTAATGGACTTTAAAAGCAGTTCAAGTAAAAATAAAATGATCCCTCAAGCTGAAATGTTAGGATCTGTAGGAGGGCAAAACTGGACATTCAAGTGTGCGGGTGCTGGTGGTGTTGCTTTTGAGAATGAGGACAGAATTCAGTACATGGTCAAAAGTACCCATGTAACAGTAGTCGTAAACAGCATGCACGGGCAACCTGAAAAGGAACATCAGGCACCGCCTTTCTTTTGCAACTGCTCCAGTTTTCTTCTTAAGAGGCTGTAGTTTTCCTTGGTTCCRGGTGCCGTAGGATCAAGCTTCAGAGAGACTTCATAGTGCTTCTTCGCTAAGTCAAGGTTTCCCCAGCGATGATAAAGCACAGCTGGAACATCAATGGGGAATTTCATTAGCAATATTGTTGAATAACGTACAATCTTGCCAATCACTTGGAAAACAACAYTGAAGTATTTGTTTCCAGTGAGGGTCTGTCACTGGCTGGTGGCACAGTAGCTGCTTGTTCTGTTGCCAAATGCAGGAGCAAAGCCTGGGAGCAGAACTGGCATGGGAATGATGAAGGAATGAATTACAATGGAGCCATAAATGGCAGCTCTTATCTGGTGAGCTCATTGCGGGTTACAAGCATAGCATAAATGAACCAATTTGCAGACACTAAAGTGCAGCTACCTCTGGGCTGGATTGTGCAGCCCTCTTGATCTGTCATATTGTGTGACAGCTTTTCTGGTTTTAGTGCCCTGTTCTTCTGGCTGGCAGTTCTTCTAGAAAGTAAAATAGAAATCTGCCCAGCAGGAAGAAGGCTCAAAAGATTGCTTTTTCTTTTTAAACACAATGAATATGAAGCAAATAAACAATASAGCTGATAAGAGTTAGAAAGGTTCTTACCCAAATTACCGTGATAACTGGCAGCATTTGGATTGGCTTTAATTGCCTTGAGAAACAAAGCTTCAGATTCCTGAATAATTTAAAATAACAAGATGTCAGGAAAGTCCATTCTCATATATATAAAACAATGCCAAATTTACCCACCATTGTAATTAAAAACCCTCCTAAACTATGCCATATCTATGTTATATGACCATATAAATATTATGAGCTTGCCTGATCCTGTAGCTCAGGTGGCTACAGCCTCCTCAAAACACTAATAATGTTTCAAATAAGTGTCATGCTTTCATAGGCTGCTGTTATTTTTTAGCACTAGTGAAGTCTGCAAAACTCTTTACCTAAAGTACCTTTTTCTTTTATAATTATAGTATTTTCACACATTACCTGCTGAAGTTTTCCCTACTTATGCAATCAAGTTAAGGATAATATAATTCAGTATCTAAGCAAACCTTTCCTTTTAAAGTAGTTCTGGCATTAAAAATAGGGGCATTCCAGTAAGTCCTTTTYAAACAGATGTTTCAGCTGGTCCCCAATGAAGAGTAGCTGAGTACCTTTCACTTAAAAAATCATGGCAAATCATGTCAGGCCATGCAACATCCTTCCTATTTTCCTCACCAGTTATCGTCTCTATATTACACTTGCAGTGTGTACCCTTAAAACTCTTGATATCTGAGTAGTTTTTAGAAAACCTCAGCTCCCTGACCAAATAGTCAGAGAATAATTCACTGCTACATTTATTCTCTAATTAAAACAATTCTATTTTTCTAAACTAGCTGCTAATATAGACATCTTTTTTCCCAAAGCGTATTTCCTGCAGAAGTTAAAATTAAGTTACACACCCCCAATCCAAATGGAGYATATTTACTTGCTGACATGCAAGTTTAGATACTTGACAGCAAATTTTACATAGATTTCTATGCTGTGCTGTGCTTTAGGGAAAATTACTCATTTGGTTTCAATGCAAATGACCTGAAGATAAAATTACCTCAATGTGGTAGGCTTCTGTCTGAATGCACATACTTGGTGTCTGAGGTATGTGAGAACAGTAACATGGAGAAAAGTCCTTTCCTTTGTGCTAAGCTTTTACTGCTTAAAACATAACACAGGCTCTACTGAAAAAGAAAACCTGTCAGCCAGATTTTTGGTTTCACTGTCTTCTCATGTCAAGCATGAAATAACTCTCTGTAAGAGTCCCTTCAGGGAAAAATAAATTTCTGATGTCAAGACTGAGTCACTCAACTTTGAGTGACTTAAGAGCCTCCCCATATGTCCAAATTCAAACCCAAACTAAAAGCATTGCYGTGCACAGCTGAGGCTGCCATCCTCAAGCCAGGAGAGACTCATGCAGAAAGTGCCTTCATCTCCACAGGTCAAGGAAATTAYAAACCCCAGGGTTCTCAGAGCTAGTCCAGTGGAGGCCCACAGATATGATAAGGGGACTGGAGCATCTCTTATGAGGAAATGCAGAAGSAGTTGGGCCTGTTCAGCCTCAAGAAAAGATCACTGAGAGGGGACCTCAATGTCTGTAAGTATCTGAAGGGAGGGTGCCAAAAGGATGGATCCTGGCTCTTCTCAGTCCTGCCATGCAACAGCACAAGAGGCAACGGGCAGGAACTGRTGCACAGGAAGTTCCACCTGAACATGAGGCAGAACTTCTTCACTGTGCAGATGGCAGAGCACTGGAACAGACTGACCAGAGAGGTTGTGGAGTGTCTTTCCCTGGAGATATTCAAAACCTGCAATTCTGTGCAACCTGCTCTAGGGGAACCTGCTCTAGCAGGGGGCTTGGATAAGCTGATCTCCAGAGGTCCCTTCCAACAACAGTCAGTGACTCTGATTTTGTTTCAGGAGAAGGAATACTTGGATAGGAGTTAACAAGGCAACAAGACGTCTGCAAATTTAGAGAGTAAATAACTCCATAGTGCAAGTTTTARCATTGCTTTCCTATGGCATAAGCAGTTGCTCCAGCATTCTCAAACCCAGACTATTAAAGTTCCTGGATGCATTGGTCTTTTTGAAACTCGTACTATTTGGTGACTTCATTCATATTTCACATGATGGGACTGAATGCAGTTTCGAAACTTCTCAGATAGCAGCCTAGAGGAGGGAGTGAGAAATACACTGGAGGGATGAACTGCTATTTTGAGGGACCTGGGAAGGGCAGAGAAACAGATTAGCAGGAACCACAGAATGGCTGAGTCTGGCATGGACCTCTGGTAGCCATGTGATTTCCTCTGTTAGCACTTCTGAGACCACACTCGGAGTATGTGCTCAGGCTGGGGGAGTCCATTACAAGAAGGACACAGACACTTCAGTGAGTCCTGCAGAAAGCCACCAAGAGGGGTCAGGGCTGGAGCACACGACATGCAAGGAACAGCTGAGAGAGAAGGGGATCTTTTCAGCCTTCARGAGAGAAGATGTGCTGCCTACAACTACCTGATGAGATAATACAGAGAAGATGGAAACAGACTCTTCTCACATGACTGTGAGATTGATGAGACATAATGGATGCAAGCTGGCATACGAGAAATTCCAGTTAAAGGAAACATCAGTTTTTTTATTATGAAGTTGGTCAAGCACTGAAAGATGCTGTCCAGTGAGGTTTTAGACTATCTAGCCATAGAGATATTAAAGATTCAACTGGAACTAGGTCTGGTGTGGTTAGGGGTTGGACTAGATGACCTCTGGTGTCATTTCCAGGAAAAATTTTTCCACAATTTCCATGTTTCTCAGTCACATATTTAATAATTTAGCAAGTGGTGTGAGATAATCTCTTCTTTTCATACAACTCTCCAATCCTAAAAATCAACAGCAGAGTGGCACCTGGAAGCATGTAATAATTTTAAGTCCCATGAAGCTGTATTCTTTTCCCACTCCAAATTTTAGTATTTTTGTCCTAGTAAGTAAATGTCTGTTTTCTTCACTGGGAATGTTAACAGCARCCAAAGTGAAAGATATGCTGACCATTTAACTCAATCATGCCTAAAAGTTGCCACGTACACAGAGGAGAAGCACTAACACACAGACTTGCATCCTTTCACTGCTGAAGCACAGTGGGATGACACGTGCAGTGCGCTTCCAGCAAATTTAATGAAATAAGATATTCAAGAGCTGGCTGCCATTACCATACATCTTCAATGACATGCTCAGAATATTTTTATCACCATTACTTTGCTCAGCAGCTAGTAGAAGCATACTGGTTGATTAAAGGTTATTTAAACTGCATCATATTCATATTACYGTGGATATATGGAGTAAATATACATTCCAGTCCATCAGTGATATTTCAAATCACTGCATCTTGCCAAATCTTTAAGTGTTGCCAAGAAACTTGCAGGCTTCATATAGCAAAGGCTTGGGGTAAGCACACTGCATTCCATCTGCTGCCAAGGCCACAAAATTGTASTCTGGCTTTATTTCAAATACAAAAATGCTGAATGGTTTCAATTTATTGCACTTTTTACAGAAAAAGCATAGATGTATACATAACAAAAATACAGCACACATATTTTCAAAGAACTAAAGATAGCTTGGTTCTTCATCTACTGAGATAAGAACAAGCATTTAAAGGAGAATCTAACTTGGTGTAACAGATGTTAATTAAAAAACCCAAACAAAACCACAGAAACAGCTCATCCTTTATGTGYTTTTCTTTCTGAAACAATAAATCATTCATCAGCAGATAAAAACAAAAAATAAAGGGCTTTTTTTGTGATGTAGACAACCTATCTTCTGCTGAAAATCAAAGTGCATTTGAAACTGAAGGAGAATGTTGTGTGTTTATTGGAAGGAAATCTCTCACAACATAATAAAACCTTTTTGACTCAATGTCTTTTAAAATAAGAGATAACAAAAAACCCCAGAACAAATTTTCCTTTGCAGCAACAGAGCCAATGTAGTAGCAACTTTTATACAGACACATAAGGAGTAACCTAATAAATTAAATGCCTGAGGTTATACAGCACATCAGACACAGCCAGGCAGCACTCTGAAAATTACCTCCATCACCTTGACAGACTCCATCCCCCGCTCCTCCCCTCCAATTCCATTAAAAAAAAAACCTTGAAGAGCCATCCACTTATCTATTTTAAAATGGTGAGAGGGTGGACAAGAAATCTGATTTTTTCATGCTTTTTTTTTTTGTCAGTAAGCATTCTCCCATTACAAACATATCTGTATCTCCTCTTTCCAGGCAATATGAAATACAGCTGCTGAGATCAGAACCTTTGTAAGTGAGCCCACTTTCCAATTCCCTTAATGTGCCCTCCCTGTTATAAGCCATCAGTTTTAAGTGACTAGTTCAACTTTCTGTTCTGCACAAATCTACTACTCCATACTGAACTATTATAACAGTCATTGGCTCTCTGCTTTTTTCACTATTCATTTTGCTTTTTTCAGAATGTGGACTTAAAAGCTGCACTTTCCCCTACTCTTATTTCTACTTTGTCTCTAACATGTTCTCCTGTAGAATAATGACCTTTCAGGGCTGACAATCAAAATTGCTATCCTCTATTTTATTTTTTAAATCCACTAAGACAGACTTGTCTCTCCCATACCTGGAAAAGTTTTCCAGCTTGTTTTCAACTTATTTTTTCTACTTTATTTCATTATAAATGCTCTTTATTCTGTCATGCTACATATTCTTCCTGATAAACGACTATAAAATCCTCTATTCTTTCACAGTCATGACTCACCAAAATAATCCTTGCAATTACCTCCTCCATAATCTCATACCTTATGCATTCTGGATGTTAATTTGTATGCTTCTCAAACTTTGTAAAAGTAACCAGAAGATCTATTTTATATCAGTCTCAGGTGGAGAGAGATAAGAATTAGAGTGTAAAGGAAAAAAACCCAGCCAGTATAGAAACCCAGTAACGGGGTGTTTAACAGCATCAGTGACACAAACAAAAGCAAGTGCTGGGCTGTCGCAGGCCCTGGCTTCACATGTGGACAGGTCAGGACTCCACAGCTGAACAATACTGTAGAAATTTAAGTGGCCACATTAACTGCTGGACAAATGCATCTATTTTGAGAMTCATGGAATCAYTAAAGTTGGAAAAGACCTTTAAGATCATGAGGTTCAACTGTCAACCCAGCACCACCAGCAGGTCACCATTAAACCATGTCCTCAAGTGCCATATCCACATATTTTTTTAACACTTCCAGGAATGGTGACTCTACCACTTCCCTGGGTAATCTGGTCCAATATTTTAAAATCCCTTTTGTGAAAAAAAAAAAAAAAAATTTCCTAATATCTAATCTAAACCTTCCTTCGTGCAATTTAGGCAATTTCCTCTGGTCAAGTTTCATATCATAAAATCTTCTTGCTTTGTATATAAATGAGAATGTTCCTTCAGTACTGCTAACATTATTTCTATCAAAAAGACATCAAACYTCTTAGAAGCCAAGATTCAGTATATGATGTTTTTCTGAGGAACACCAAGAAGTTGATTATTAATTTGCCCTGTCACATACATAAATCACTGACTGTAGAGTCAGTTTAAACAACTAACTATATTAAATGTGTATGATTTATTCTCTGTCAGCTCATACAATTCCCTTTGAAAAACAAGTATTTCTCATCAGTTTCATTACATTTACTATTTGCATATGCATGTAGCTAATGCTGAGGCACCACTCACAGGCTGGTCCATTGCATCCAACAGAAAGTTCRATACATTGCTCAATGTACAGACTTTGTCCCACAGTATTCTGAGATCACGCACATATCCCATCCTCACTCCAGGATTAGCAAACCTGTATATTTTCCATAGTGTCCGAGGCAAAAAAGGTTAGAATTCTTATCTATTTCTCTATCTATCTATTCACAGAATACATAGAAAAAGGACTAGCCTGTCCCATCTGAGTTCCTGAAACAAGGTCTCTAATTCAATGCAGGCTCTCTCCCTCAGCAGTGAAGCAACACAAGACCCTAACTGCCCTCTAGTGTGCTCAAGAGCCTATTTCTCTACACTGACCATTGACATAGTATAGGGCAGCAACATTTATAACCCAGGCATCTAAAATAAGGAGGGATTAACTCAGGCCAGGATCACACACCAACACTGTGACACAAAGGGGCACTGAAACCTGATTATCTAAGTCATAGTCCATACTGATCTCAAACCGTTTCTACAAAAAACATAGATAGAGTTTAATTAGGGGAAAAAACCCAACTAAACCCACCCAAAACCCTACAGTCAGAAAGCTCTAGTTACCTACCTTATATTTTTGTGATTTCCCCAGTACATTTGCCAAGGAAAACATAAGGGAATGATCATTAGGTATCAATTCCAGGGCTTCTCTTCCAACTGCTTCTGCTTGAGCTAGATTGCCTGTGAGCCCAGATGGTGGAAAAAGAGAAGGCATGTTTCAACACAGCCTTATTAGTTACTTTTCATGCTGCAAGCATACTTATTTTACAAATAGCTGATTGCATAAGCTTTTAAAGAAAACCAGGTATCACACACACACACAACTGTAAACTCCTGCAAATTAAGACAATAGTTCTTAATTTTGTTTTCAGCAGATAACACCATCAGAAGAACAACAATGATTCAATAACAAGCAGATTTAAACCTTCTGGAATTTAATCTTATGCAAACATGCTTGCACATTGATGGCATTTCAAGTAAGTATCGGAAATTCAGTTTATGGGCTGGATTTCAAGTGATGCTTTAAAATCACTGAGTCAGAAGGCATTCTTATATTACTAGAGAGTGTCTGGGAAGCAAGAGAAAAGGTAGAGACCCTTCTAGACAAATACTAATAAAGCTGTAAGTTTTTCTAGGCAATTAATCATTCATTAAAACCTTCAGATAGGCTTTTACCTGTGTTATCAAGCAATATTATCATATTGTTCCAAGCCAAACTGTGCTCTGGTTTCAGGACTGTAGCATTCCTCCATGCATTCAATGCATCTATATGGCGATTCAAATCTGCATACTAAAAGAAAAAAAGTCTGGTAATTTTGCTATTATTTGCTTTACTTTCCTATCATGCACTAAAGACACTGAAGAGTGGTTAATGTCTTGCTCCTTTCTAGTAGGATTTTTCTAGGCAAAAATAAAAAATGTAAAAAATACTCTTGTAGTATGGAAGATACTTTTCTCTGGGAGAGAGGCTTGTCTTCAAATATGCATACAYCAATAAAATAGAGAAAAAGCAGCATAGAATTGAGGAATCTACACAAGAGAATTTGTAAATATTTAATGTACATATTTCCAAGAATCTCATTTGAATTTTTCGGCACAGTTCTACTAGTTAACAATATTCTAATGAATGCAAAACAGTCTAATATTGGAAAATGATTAATAATATCTTTTGGGAGAAAAATAATATGTATTTTTGTTTATACTTCTTTATACAATAAAAAACTAAACTACAATATAAGCAAACTGGGATAACTATCAGCTTGTAACARCAGAGCAGAATTATATAAATCTACCTATCTATCTATAGAAATACACACAGAGACACACAGATTCCAGTCACAGTTATCATTTATTCAAAAGCACTTACCAACCGCCCTAAATTGTAGTAACAATCTGGATATTTTTTTCTGTGTTTAATTGCTGTCCAGTAGCTTTGCTCTGCCTCTTCAAACCTTCTTAAACTGTTCTGTACTATTCCTAGATTCATCCATGCAGCAGCRAAATCAGGTCTGAGCAAATTGGGAAAAAGCACCGAGAGAGGACAATTAAGTGTTTGAAACACAAGACCCTATTGTATCATTTTGGCTCAGCTGGTGCAAAACACCGCTTAGCATTGCTCTAAACATACTGTATTTGYACAGCTAAGGACAGCAACTCCTCCGCTTCATGGAGCTCATTTCTTTCTTTCAGAATATTTCCAAGGTTGTTCATGGCATGTACATACTTTGGATTCAACCTAAAATTTAAAATTTAAGAGATTATTATTATGTATGGACATGTATTAATATATGCAAATTGCTAGCTCTGCAATGCTGCAGAACATGAAAATGAATACCTRAGCATTTTCTTCGTGTTAAACATGAAAGCAATTTTAGGACAGATCATTAAAGCAGTAAAATTTCTAATACCTTACAGCTTCTCGGTAGTATTTGATTGCAGCACTTTGATTTCCTTTGTCAGCCAGGTTTTTGCCAACGTTGTAGTGCACCTGAAAACACAGATATATATTCTACCAGATGCCAGACAGCCAGATATTTTGTGGAACCAGGTAGCTAAAAATTCTTTCTCCAAATAGAAACAGTCAGCACTTGTGTCATTCACTGCTGGCTTTTTGTGCAGGTTGATACTTAAGATTGGACAACTCATACAATGAAGATAAAGACAAAATCTGAACATAACTGTTCCAGCTATTTAAGAGGTAGTATTTACTTCCTAATTTTATGAATGAGGCCACCACACCTTTCACTAGACACTYTGTGTGGTGGGGACCTTGTGCTCTTAATTTCATTTATTTGTCAGGTAASTAAGAGAAAGTGGGACTCATATCATATCCATTATAGCAGAAGAAACACTACAGGTATGTGTCAATTAAACTTTGATTTTGTTATGGGGGAAACTCAACACTCACAAATAAAACCCAAACAAAAAGCAACAGACAGACAATTATTATCTTAGGACAAAAATGCATCAAAGAGCRTTTCTGAATATGTATAGCAACATGTTGAAGACTCTGCCTTTTTAAAAACTGAAGAATGAAGGAAAGATTTCAAGCTTTCAGGCCACAGGGAAGAAGAATTTATGGCAAGAGTAAATAGGAATAAATATATTTCAGGACAAATCTGAGTTGGAAGACGTCTCATATCCTACTTTAGGACAAACCTCAGAAGACTATGTTACTTAGTCTAAAAKTACTGTGAGTAGTGACTCTTGAAAAGAGATTTCTCAGCACCCAAATTAGRACTCATTATTTAATTACCTTACTATTTGAAATGAAATTATATATTCTTCATCTAAGACAAACACATATGGTAATTTCTTCCAAACTTTGAAAATCTGATTTAAACACACTTCACAGGAATAAATTCAGATTGAATTCCAATGTGATAGGTTTGTAATACACTTAAGTAAATCTAACTCACCTTCTACAATCAAAAAAGGATTTTATCTGACATGTCCATTAACTGAAAAATCCTAATTGCAATTGACACAGTATCTGGGACCTATTGATCCAGCACAATTATGTTGAAGCCTAATTGTTATGGTATTTAACCGATGAATTTCATCTCTGTTTGATTGCAACTATGAAGTACCATACCATCAACAAATAAAGTTAAGGACATTTTCCATGCTTTCTTGAATGGGTGAAAAAGTATTTTAAGGAGAGTAAAAGTGAAAAAGTATTTTAAGGAGTTTTAAGGAGAGCAAAGATGTTATAAAGCTTACTAAGCATGCAGAGAGGCAGCTTGTGTAGGATATAAAACAGCACACAAATYCAGCATCCCATAAAAGCAGTTCTAGAACAGCTTCCATGAAGAAAAAAATCCTGGCACTGTATTGGACATTCATAAAAATCTGACAAGGCCCACGGCAAAGAAGCAACAGAATGGTACATTTATGTCAAGAAATAACCGAACGAAGATCAGTTGACAGTGTCAAAAAATACAAAAAGTTGGAGCATTTTCCCAGGAGTCATTAAAGTAAAATGAAAGATGTTTCTTAGGACTGAATTCTATTTATATATCTCTTCCAGAAGTTTTTCAGAACACTGTAACATTCCAAACTGGATCACTCTGATTATATATGCTGAAGTTTACATATTCAACTTTTATCCAGATAAAAGATAAATTGTGGCAAGACAGAAGAAATACGTGAAGATTTCACTGAATACTGTATATGAGCCCTTGAAGTACCTGACTTTACAGTTCAGTATCAGCGAACAAAATTGTATTTAACTAAATTTAATTTAAGTTTTTAAGAAGCTTTACAGAAAGAAATTCCTAAAGACTGGAGCAGAACAGATGGAAAAAAATTTGGTGTACACCAACCACTCAATCCTTCACATATCAGCTATCTTGKGTTAGGAAACAGCACTTTCCTTCCTATTTTTCATGGGKTTTTTTKKTTKGTTKGTTTTTTTTTTWAACATGAAATATGTCCACATCATTTTTTTTTTCAGAAGTAGCAACAGAAAGAATATTTTTCTCATGTAAACAGGACTGTGCAGTCTGAAGAAACCCAAGAGACACCAATTCTCTTAAGTCAAAACATCAAAACAAGTATTAAGTGCACATATGTGTTTTGTGAACTGAACTAAAAAGATGTAGTCGAGTCTACACAAAGGGTGGGGAGAATCCAGTCGTTAAAAATGAGGGGCGGGGTAGGTTTTTAAATTTCATCTCTAGAGGTGTGGCTCTTCTGCTTCTGACAGATACTGTGCATGCCAGCCTGGGAGGGAAGATTTTCCTTTCCTGGTTAAACATTTAAGAGCACTTCGTTATTAAATGATTAAATATTAACTGGAAATGACGTATTACATTATACCCAGATGATCCTTTATCAGTCTTAAACAGGCAATTACTTTACACTAATAGCTCTAAAAGGAGCATTTCTCAGGGATGCATAACAACACAGTATTCTCTGAAATCTAGGCAATCAGGTAAAATACCCTAGAGTAGGACCTACTGTCTCTCAACAGGCATGTCTTATTTAAGTTAGCACAACCATGGCACCAGAGCCTAGCCAAGGAATAGGCTTTATGTATTTGTCTGTTTGCAATACCTCAATCAGACTAAGAAGCCAGTATAAAAAGGAAAAAGCACTGTATATTATTCTGTGCTAGACAKACATAGTACTTGAACTCTTATTTAAATGTTAAATTTAAACAAGGAGAGAAAAAAAAAAATTATATTTTCCTGTGCAAAAATGAAATTATTGCCAGACTGGTTTTTTTTGTTTTCCCTTAAAGCAGCATAAGAAAAAATTGAAATGTAGCATCATCTTCTAGGAGGTACATCCCCTCTGTTGGAGCACTACTATTATCACCAATTTTATTCTCTCTKCCTAGCTGCTTATAATCATTTTTTCAGCAAATATGAACATTTGCYGAAAAGAATGAAAGCAAAGCACAGATGTCAAAATTTCTCCAGGAACATGCAGATGCTTCTGTTCAATGCCAACTCCTGTCATCAATCTTCTTTCTCCCACTACGAAAACTCTGTTTTCTAAATAATAATAAAACAAAGCTTTTTTATATGCACATCTTGTTTGTGTATTTAATGTTGCCTAAAGGTTTTTCTGCATGACYGTGCTTGTATACACAAAAATTGACATCTAAAATGGTGGCAAAACACTGCAAATAGCCCATATAAACACAGCCCACAGCACTTAAATTCCTCGAAGATAATCCCCTTTTAACATATAGCATTTAAGAGATCTCAGTATCTAAAGGAAGTGCCCTCTAGATCAGTTTCCTCAAGGATCAAAGATCAGATCCTCAGACAGCATTAAATCTTGTTCTGTAACAAAGAGGTTTTACAGGACCTTTTAAGAAAGTACAGAAAGGAATCTCATAAACTCATTGTACCTTTTCAGTATTAGCATAGCTTGTCTCTGACAAACTCGTCTCTATAATAATAGCAGTTTGCATAAAACATCAAGTTTAAAGTTACTTACCCTGGTATGTCAAGGCAAATAGTTAGTAACATTATGCTGAGAGTATTTTAACTTCCTTGCTTATTATTGCAGAAAAGTTGCTATGAAATGGCTTTTCAAAATTTATGTTTATTAATTTCTATCCTTTAAAGAAAAGCCAGTAGCAAGGAAAATGTAGAGATTACGCACAAAACAACAATTTACAATAATTTAAATTTAGTTACTTCAAATCTAGGAAAAGAAAAATGCTGGCTATTTCCCATGTATGTAACAATGTAACTGCAATTATTTATTTAGATAATCAATGAGAGGAAGTCATCCAGGAATAAAGACCATCTCTGGAATCTTAACTGCTATGGTTTTTCTAAAAGCTGAGAAAAAAAACAAAACCCCTCAGTTCTTCCAACAGCACAAATACTTTAAACAGCAAAAATAAGGCAGCAAGATGAGCATTTTGAGAATAATGTTTAAAAATAAGAGAAACTATGTGTAGTGACTTCAGAAGGTGAAGAGCAATCCAGCAATGTCTAGAAATAGTGAAGAGCAGTAGGGTAGGGGCAAAATCTCACAATCTCATGCATCCACACCTGCTCTAGTTGTCAGGACTTCTTTTATCATCAGTGGAGAGAAAGACAGAAATCTAGGATGCAGTCCTGACTTAAATCTCTCATTTGGTCCAAGGTGATGAACCACATGCTGAAAGAAACAGCTTCTTCTTCCCACTTACAAAGGGAGCCTGGCTGACCCACTCAGATGKAGATGTCTGAATCTAAGGAGATAAATCCAAGCCTGTAATCTGATATGGTAAAACAGTTTTGATTTTATCATAGTCTGTAACAAAGTATTCCAGTCCTTAACAAAGCCCTCCAGGATAAACTCCCAACATAATTACATCAAATGTCAAGATGCCAATTTGGATGCAGTGAGCCTTTTAAGTCAGTAGTGCTGAAATATTCCAAATTTATAAACCACCTGTAACATGTARTCAACATATCAAGAAAGAACAGCCTCTACAACTGCACACAAAATTTGCTTTAGCAAAACCAGTGCAGGCCTGGCTCTAACTCACTCCAGTGTGCATTGCCACTGAGCTCCAGRAATCATGTCAATCCATGCAGTATGAAAAATGGTGGTAGGAAGAAATGGAATCAATATACAGGCACCTCCTGTTCAGCTAAGGAAAATACTGCCAAGTGTATTAAAAATGTATAATGTTTCAATCTAATGACCTTTGAAACCAACCTAAGTGCAGGGCCATGCAAGTTCAAATGTGTGATGTGCTCCTGGACATACTTAACCAAGATGTGTGCCATACTTCCTTCTCTCTGTTAAAAAAATTCACCCAACCAAACCATATGTATTATG